GGCCCAGGAGAGTGTCTGTGCAAATTTTGAAGAAAATCGTAGGGGCCGCCCCATTGGGCCCCAAATTTCAATTGGGTCCCGTGGGCCCCAGGTGGGCCCCATCGAAAAATGTTACTTGGGTTTTTTGTTTGGGAAATTACGCTCTTTCCAATGATGTGCATATTGCCGGGGTTGGTCGCGAAATTAGGGGCAATACTTAGAAAGGGCCTCTTTGGGGCCCTCTTTGGGCCCCTTCCTTTGGATTCCCCGGTAGGTTTCTTCCGCCAGATTGAAGAGGTGGCCCAGGAGAGTGTCTGTGCAAATTTTGAAGAAAATCGTAGGGGCCGCCCCATTGGGCCCCAAATTTCAATTGGGTCCCGTGGGCCCCAGGTGGGCCCCATCGAAAAATGTTACCTGGGTTTTTTGTTTGGGAAATTACGCTCTTTCCAATGATGTGCATATTGCCGGGGTTGGTCGCGAAATTAGGGGCAATACTTAGAAGGGGCCTCTTTGGGGCCCTCTTTGGGCCCCTTCCTTTGGATTCCCCGGTAGGTTTCTTCAGCCAGATTGAAGAGGGGGCCCAGGAGAGTGTCTGTGCAAATTTTGAAGAAAATCGTAGGGGCCGCCCCATTGGGCCCCAAATTTCAATTGGGTCCCGTGGGCCCCAGGTGGGCCCCATCGAAAAATGTTACTTGGGTTTTTTGTTTGGGAAATTACGCTCTTTCCAATGATGTGCATATTGCCGGGGTTGGTCGCGAAATTAGGGGCAATATTAGAAAGGGCCTCTTTGGGGCCCTCTTTGGGCCCCTTCCTTTGGATTCCCCGGTAGGTTTCTTCAGCCAGATTGAAGAGGGGGCCCAGGAGAGTGTCTGTGCAAATTTTGAAGAAAATCGTAGGGGCCGCCCCATTGGGCCCCAAATTTCAATTGGGTCCCGTGGGCCCCAGGTGGGCCCCATCGAAAAATGTTACTTGGGTTTTTTGTTTGGGAAATTACGCTCTTTCCAATGATGTGCATATTGCCGGGGTTGGTCGCGAAAGTTAGGGGCAATACTTAGAAAGGGCCTCTTTGGGGCCCTCTTTGGGCCCCTTCCTTTGGATTCCCCGGTAGGTTTCTTCAGCCAGATTGAAGAGGGGGCCCAGGAGAGTGTCTGTGCAAATTTTGAAGAAAATCGTAGGGGCCGCCCCATTGGGCCCCAAATTTCAATTGGGTCCCGTGGGCCCCAGGTGGGCCCCATCGAAAAATGTTACTTGGGTTTTTTGTTTGGGAAATTACGCTCTTTCCAATGATGTGCATATTGCCGGGGTTGGTCGCGAAATTAGGGGCAATACTTAGAAAGGGCCTCTTTGGGGCCCTCTTTGGGCCCCTTCCTTTGGATTCCCCGGTAGGTTTCTTCAGCCAGATTGAAGAGGGGGCCCAGGAGAGTGTCTGTGCAAATTTTGAAGAAAATCGTAGGGGCCGCCCCATTGGGCCCCAAATTTCAATTGGGTCCCGTGGGCCCCAGGTGGGCCCTATCGAAAAATGTTACTTGGGTTTTTTGTTTGGGAAATTACGCTCTTTCCAATGATGTGCATATTGCCGGGGTTGGTCGCGAAATTAGGGGCAATACTTAGAAAGGGCCTCTTTGGGGCCCTCTTTGGGCCCCTTCCTTTGGATTCCCCGGTAGGTTTCTTCAGCCAGATTGAAGAGGGGGCCCAGGAGAGTGTCTGTGCAAATTTTGAAGAAAATCGTAGGGGCCGCCCCATTGGGCCCCAAATTTCAATTGGGTCCCGTGGGCCCCAGGTGGGCCCCATCGAAAAATATTACTTGGGTTTTTTGTTTGGGAAATTACGCTCTTTCCAATGATGTGCATATTGCCGGGGTTGGTCGCAAAGTTAGGGGCAATACTTAGAAAGGGCCTCTTTGGGGCCCTCTTTGGGCCCCTTCCTTTGGATTCCCCGGTAGGTTTCTTCAGCCAGATTGAAGAGGGGGCCCAGGAGAGTGTCTGTGCAAATTTTGAAGAAAATCGTAGGGGCCGCCCCATTGGGCCCCAAATTTCAATTGGGTCCCGTGGGCCCCAGGTGGGCCCCATCGAAAAATGTTACTTGGGTTTTTTGTTTGGGAAATTACGCTCTTTCCAATGATGTGCATATTGCCGGGGTTGGTCGCGAAATTAGGGGCAATACTTAGAAAGGGCCTCTTTGGGGCCCTCTTTGGGCCCCTTCCTTTGGTTTCCCCGGTAGGTTTCTTCAGCCAGATTGAAGAGGGGGCCCAGGAGAGTGTCTGTGCAAATTTTGAAGAAAATCGTAGGGGCCGCCCCATTGGGCCCCAAATTTCAATTGGGTCCCGTGGGCCCCAGGTGGGCCCCATCGAAAAATGTTACTTGGGTTTTTTTGTTTGGGAAATTACGCTCTTTCCAATGATGTGCATATTGCCGGGGTTGGTCGCGAAATTAGGGGCAATACTTAGAAGGGGCCTCTTTGGGGCCCTCTTTGGGCCCCTTCCTTTGGATTCCCCGGTAGGTTTCTTCAGCCAGATTGAAGAGGGGGCCCAGGAGAGTGTCTGTGCAAATTTTGAAGAAAATCGTAGGGGCCGCCCCATTGGGCCCCAAATTTCAATTGGGTCCCGTGGGCCCCAGGTGGGCCCCATCGAAAAATGTTACTTGGGTTTTTTGTTTGGGAAATTACGCTCTTTCCAATGATGTGCATATTGCCGGGGTTGGTCGCGAAATTAGGGGCAATACTTAGAAGGGGCCTCTTTGGGGCCCTCTTTGGGCCCCTTCCTTTGGATTCCCCGGTAGGTTTCTTCAGCCAGATTGAAGAGGGGGCCCAGGAGAGTGTCTGTGCAAATTTTGAAGAAAATCGTAGGGGCCGCCCCATTGGGCCCCAAATTTCAATTGGGTCCCGTGGGCCCCAGGTGGGCCCCATCGAAAAATGTTACTTGGGTTTTTTGTTTGGGAAATTACGCTCTTTCCAATGATGTGCATATTGCTGGATTTTGTCGATGTTATAGGCCTGAAATTGTTGAAAACGTTTATTTATGCCCCGAGGGCATACTCCCGGGCCCATATATTTGAAGCTGTTTTGTTCGGTTCAGGGGGGCGCTAGCCCCCTAAATTTGGTACCGTTGCATGTAAAATTTTGTCCTCTTTCGAATGACGTGCATTTTTAGCTGTTTTGACGGCTAGAAGTATGGTTTTCAAAGTTCGTCGATTGTGCCCTGAGGGCATACTGTTTTTTGGGATTTGTGGCCCCCCTGATGGATTCCCCGCATTTTGGCACTAGGATTTTCGATAGAGGACACCATTCTGCACCTCTCCACCAAAATTCAGCGAAATCGTAGGGGCCGTCGATCCCTGCTGAATCCCTGCTGAACCCCTGCTGAATCCCTGCTAACTTCCGTTACATTACATCGAGTCAGTAACACAGGTCAGAGGGCAGCCAAAGTCGGCTTAGATAAGCCGTGGCTAGGGGCGATGAAAAGCTGTGGCTTAACATGGACTGTGTGATGCTTTATCAGGTTACCGTTATATGACACTGCACCTTTGGAAAATGATTCTATCCATAGACCACTATAGGTATAAGTATATCTATCTATACGTTAACCCGCGTCCCGCTGGGCTATTCAGCCATACGCGCCCTGCTGGGGGGGGGGGGCAGATTCTGCCCCCCCCCCCCCCCCCCCGTCTAACTTCCGAACCGATGGTCGTAGAAAGACGGGGAAAACGGCAATCGAAAGCTCTCAACAAGGCGGATCTAAGAGCCCTTTTTTTGCTTAAGTAGGTCAGAGGTCAGGTCAAGGTCAGGTCAAGGGTACAATATGCAAGTTTCTACAGTATCGGCCTTGCACCGTAGTTGCCGAAGAATGGACTGAGACTGATTGCCCAAATCGTGTTCTTAGACTACCAAGACAATATTCGTTGCATACAATGTCATTCAAAGGTCAAGGTCAAGGTCAAGGTCAGCTCAGGTCAGGTCAGGTCACCAAAAACAAAATAAGAAAAGGGCATGTGCGACACATGTTTTATAGGTTATTTTACTCATAGAATTCAATAGGCACACTCAATAAGTGATATGGACCACCTCTGGATGAATTTCAGGTCGAGGTCAGGTCAAGGTCAGGTCAAGTGAGGTCAAATTTTGAAGTTGGTTGTTAAGGCCTAAAAAGGTGTCTATCTTCTGATGCAGTTTTTCACAGCGAATTGAATGGTGCTATTTTTGTTTCCGTACGAGGTCTAGAACTTCCAAAACAATCATTTTCAAAAAAAAATTGTATGTCGTGACGTCATAAAATTTTGAATTACTCCCACATTTTTGAACCGATTCTTCTAAAAATTGGTATGTAGGTGCACATTGACCACTTCTCCGACATTTATTCCGTTTTTTTTATACACTCAAAATTTTGGATTTATAATTATTTTCCCAAAAAAGTCAGTTTTTTTTTAATTTGGGCCAAAATCCAAAACTTTTAAAAATCCGAGATACCCATTTGATAGACAAAGTAGAATCACGTATAACCTTTTTTGTTACGTCTTGATTCCTTTAAAAATGAAGATGTTAGCGGCGTTTGAAATTTTGCCGAAAATGGCGAACATGACGTCACTAAAACGTCAATTTCTCAAAAAATTTCCGACGGATTTCGCTCAAATTTTCAGGGAACGTGTCAAATTGATGTATGATAAGGTACTGAAAGTTTGACGTCGTAACGCGTTTAGAAGTTACTGGCGAAAAACGGGAGGGGGGCAGATTCTGCCCCCTTCCCCCCATCGGGGCGCGTGTTAACCTTTATAGCTTAGACATATCATAATCATAAGCACAGATAACAGTAGTAGATAACAGTAGTATCTGTGTTATAAGGTACATTTGGAATATAATTCATGGTAACCGGATCCTGTTTACGCACTATCGCCGAATCATGAGCCCACCCCGTCCAACCATTTCAGCTTGTAATATGATCCGTTCCATTAATGCCCACGCCCTGTGCACTCCCTCTACATCCCGCCTTCCTGCTCCGTCCCTCTCCCTTCGTCTCCCCTTACCCCTACCTTATTTCGGGCTCGGGCCAGATGTCCCCCTCCTTGAACTTGAAGCCCTCTGTGTTCCGTCCGAGGAATTCGATCAGCTCCGGGAACAGCGACATGTACTCTCGGAGTACATCGATCAGCCGGCCCGAGTACATCCATTGGCCGTCCTTGCGCCGCGAGTAGCCCGGCATCTGGCGGCGGAGAAGTGAACTAATAACGGCGGCAGCTGTCCCGGCTACGGCGCGGGCAGATTGATGTTCCACCACTCCCTACCAGGGTTGTATACGACTCAATCAATAGCAATCAATTCAATCACGACAAATTTGGGAAACCAATCAAATCAATCAAGTCAGAGCAGTTTTCGGGAATTGATTCAATCGACTCAAACGCGACAATGAAAGGAATCAATCAACTCAATCAAACGACTCAAACCAAGATATACATTAGGTTTTTTGCCCCACCAACTTGGAAAAGTGTCCATAGCAGTCTGGTGTACCTACCTACCTACCTACCTACAGAAGAAACAAAAATATTGTCATTTAAAATTATAAATTGTCATGCCATTCTAAGTTTCTTTGTAATAAGGAAGGATACCTAGTGATGGACAGGTGGATCATGATATTGAGGTTCAATGGGTAGAATTGGAGCAGAACTAGAAGTTTCATTTAATGGGTGCAAAATAACCCAGTAGTTGACTTCAACAAACGCCCCTTAACCCAAATCACCACCTTTCACCTAAAAGTTGTCAATTTAATTTTGGCCATATTTCAGCTAAGTCATCAGGCCATCTACCCCATGTAAAGCCCCCGTCTGTCTCTTATGTGAGTTATGCGGAGCTCTTCTGAATTGAACCCTGAACATAATGAACCTAGCTAGGTTACGTGCCACACTGACACCATATTGATATGAAAGTGTTGAAAATGTGCTACAGCTACAAATTTGACAACTCCATTAGGTATGCTTTATGAAGACAGCAGGAAAGCAGGTAGGTACCTTGACCTACTTACCTGCCTAGATGTGTCACTGGCTACCAACTGTACCAACGAAGGTAGATAGGTTATATGTGAAGAATTCAAAACATTTTATTGCAATACAATTTGAAACTGTTAGGACTGGGGGATAGGGATGAGCATTAAAAATATATTTAAAAGGAAATGGAAAGGACAGGGACTCTGGAACCACAGGATAAGTTAAGGACAAAGGAAGAACAAGGAAAATTAAATGCCGTTGGTGCGACTGCGAAAAAAACAAAGAAAACGTTTTGCCAAGAAGTATGCTAAGCTTTTATAAATCCTTATTCTACGTCTTTTGATTTTTTGGTAAGATGACGTCATTGATTATCATGTAGTATGGTAGATCATCATAAAATAAATCGGTTGTACAACACCAATTTCGTTTTAATTATTATTTCATTTGAAATAAAACCACTTAATAATATTCGGTAAAATATTTAAAGGAAAATGAAATATATTAAATATGTTATGCCTAGGCTCTCAGGAGAAAAGGATCAGCAAACGTTCTGCTGCAAATTAAACAATGCAGCAAATTAGCTATTAATGTAAACGTAATTAGCGAGACGAAAACGGCGCTTTTGTTTCAGTTATTTTTGTAGGGGTTTCAGGATATTTATAGAGTTCAGTGGGTTCTGAGGAGATGTGGAGATGTGAATTATTAATTAATCACACTTTATTAGTATATAGGGCCTTGCACTTTATCATTATCATCTGGATTTAAAAAAAAACGTTTCCTGCTGAGTGCAGAAAGGTAGGTAGGTGCATCGCCAGGTTCTATCACAGGATTGGAGCAGTTATTGCAGTTGAAAGTCAAAGTTGGCTGTTCATGTTTAGGCCCTGTTCTTTATTTGGCCATCTACCCCATATTGCAGTTGTGATGACAAGCAGTTTTCAGTGTAGTTTTGTGATCTTTGATGTCATCAATTGGTGTCATTATTTTTCGTCAACTAAAACTTATTTCAACTTTCCATTCAATCGACTCAATCATACGAGTCACTCTAATTTTCGGGAATCAAATCAGTCAACCAGTCGCTAAAGTCAAACGAGTCAGTCAACCAGTCATCTCGAAAAGTCAATCGACTCAATCCAATCAACTCAAAATACGCGTTGAATCAAATCAATCAATTCAATCGACTTGATTGGTATACAACCCTGCTCCCTACCCATCGGGCGATCCCATGGCTCAGCACTGGCTGCTGCCAGTGTTGCCTACCCTCAGCACTGCTCAGCACTGCCTGCCAGTGCCAGTGCTGCCACTGGCAGCAGCCAGTGCTGAGCCATGGGAGCCCGATGGGTAGGGAGTGGTGGAACATCAATCTGCCCTCGAGTGTACACAGAGACAGGTGTAAGACGGAGGCGCGGCGACCCATCACGTTCAGCAGTGGATAGATTAGGGTTAATCGTCGGGACGCAGGGTACTGACATGCCTCGCAACTGATATCAAACGGTCTACATTCACAAGAGATTTGTGATGTGATTAGTTTGTGCAACAATATTTGAGTATCGCTGTTGACTGTATTCAGCGACAAGAATGTTTTAGACCACATAGAGCCAATCATATTCCCTATTAGCTCGATATTCAGCAAGCAAGCCCTGTTCTGATCGCCACCTCTCCTCAGTCACGCCCCTCCCAGGTCCTTCCATCCTTCCGTCCCATCATCCTTCTCTGCATCCCTCCATTACCCACCTCTTCGTTTTTCTTGTTGTGTTTGATCTCGATGGCGCAGTTGAACTTGGCGTCCCGGTCGATGCGCGCGTCCTCCAGTTCGCCGACGATGTTGGAGGCTCCGTTGGCGCGCGCGCCGCCGCCGGGCTCCAGCAGCAGGCAGCCGGTGAGACGCGATACCAGGTGTGAGGTGATGCCTAGCTTCTGCGCCACCACGTACCCTGCGGGCGGCGCCGGGAGGAGCGGGTTAGACGAGGATCAGCGATCAGAGGGTTCTGAAGGGCTCACTGCTGATCAACAAGCGGATACGTCCTACAACCACGCAAGCGGCTAATGGGTGAGTAGCGACACTTGCAGCAAGTTACTTATGAAATGTGTTTCAATATAAGATTCGTCTTTTGATTACATTTTATGTTGAGTGCATCGAAAACCAAATTAATTAAAACTCCGAAATATTGTGAATCAATCCTTTTACGCCCGACAAATCAATGTAAAATTCCACAGCACAACAAAAATAAGAATCACGCCGAACGCTCACTCATCTACCCACACCCAGTCCGCTCTCCGGTCCCGCAGTATTTCGCCCGCAAACCGCCCACTTTCCACTGAGGACCGGCCGGCTCAGAGTCTCATCTGGGAAAAAGGTGGCCACCAGGCGGGCCGGCGCGGGGTCTCACCTGGGAAATAGGTGGCCGCCAGGCGGGCCAGCGCGGGGTCTCACCTGGGAAATAGGTGGCCGCCAGGCGGGCCGGCGCCGGGTCTCACCTGGGAAATAGGTGGCCGCCAGGCGGGCCGGCGCCGCGTCTCACCTGGGAAATAGGTGGCCGCCAGGCGGGCCTCCTTGCGCTGCACGGCGCTAAAGTCCGGCTCCGGAGTGAGGGTGACGTCCAGACGCACCCGACCCCGCTCCGTCACCTCAATTACCTGTGACGTGCAGAGGTCAGCACACATTGAGGGACGTCAGTCAAAGGCGTACAGACGCCAGCACACATTGAAAGATGTCAGTCGCCACAGGTCACTGATAAACGTCAACTGCCAGATGTCATAAAGGGAGATTAATCATTAAATGTTAATTACAAACATCAGTCATCATCATCCGTCACCCATGACTAACGTTGATTATCACACGATGTTACTAAGTGAAGTCAGCACACAAAATAGTTTGTGCCTCCCATTGTGCCTACTAAAGCTCATTTCAACAACTCGTTAGTCGTTACTGAGAAGCTAATCTCCAGCCAGCACGGACCTTTCCCATTGAGGCGTAGGAGTCTGGGGCGAGCACGAAGCAGTGGGAGCCCTTGTCGAAGAGGTCGGCCACCGAGGTATACTTGGTGTAGCTGCCCTCCAGCGTCTTCAGCTCGCGGACACAGGTCTGCAGCGCGAACGGCTTCGGCACCGTCGACCACTGCAACAGGACAGGCGGCAGCGAAATGACAGAGTACGACAGTGATACGACAGACGGCAGTGATACGACAGTGACCAGGCAATGTGAATGAAGCAGACATAGCACAATGCTTAGACAAAGACAGGGACCATACAGTGACCACTTATCATATAGAGGACAGTTATGACCGAGCGTGATCACGTCACATTCCAGTTGGCTTTGATAAATTCAGGTAAGAGGCGCGTAAGTGAAAGAAAACGGGCTTGTCGACAGTCAGTTTAATGGTTCTCCGTCATTTCGCAGCGTTAGTGACTCACAATATCCTGACCCGATTCTTCACCGTCACACACAGCCGCCAAAGACTCCCCCATCCCTCCGCCTAACCTATTCACACTCCACCCCACCTGTATCTGCAGCACCACGGAACACGAGTCTGACGTTCACCTCACCCCACCCCACGGAACACATCACACAACACACCCACACCGCACCCCCACCTGTATCTGCAGCACCACGGAACACGAGTCTGACGTTCACCTCACCCCACCCCACGGAACACATCACACAACACACCCACACGTCCGCACCCCACCTGTTTCTGCAGTACCACGTGGCCGTCGGGGGTGGCCGCGTGTTTCCTCCCGGTCAGCGGTTTGGCGTAAACCAGCACGGGGATGTCGTCCGTCAGAATACCCCGACGGCCCTCGTACCTGCCGGCGGGCGAGCGGTGAGGCGTGGCAAGGAGACCAGGGGGAGGCTGAGTGGTGAGGCCCGGAGGCAGCCCCAGGCGGGCGAGACAAGTGAGTAAGAATACAGACGCGGATGAGTACGGTCTGAGTTCTGTAGAACGGTGAACACGGAGAAGTGTCTAACAGAAATGAGGAGGAATACGCCAATCATGCTTAGCAGGTTTTAAACAGGCTGTTGTTTCATTTCACCCTTCCTCAAAGACAACTAAAGTTTTATCAGAGTTGATTTCCTATCCAAGAAAGCGGTGGAGATCCTGATCAGTGATCGGGACGAGGGCGAGTGATCCCTCCCCTATCCCTCCAGCCCTCCCTGAGGCAGTGCGAGCTGCACCTCCCCCCCCCCCCCCCCGCACTCACTCGCTCTTGATGTCGTGCATGTGTCCGATCCAGACGGTCCGGTCGGTGTCGCTGAGCGGCTGCACACTCAGCTGGTCGGTGGAGCCCTTCTGCAGGCTGTACTTCTTCTCCGGCGTGGCCACAGACACCACGGTGGCCTCTGTGAGGTGCGGCCACTGGACGAACACGACGCGGCCGAGCAGCCGGCGCGCCTCAGCCTCGGCGTCCGGTTCACCGTCTCCCCAGGGCGTGCGCACCGTCAGCATCATGTTCTCGCCCATGGAGGCCTGCTGGAACACCTTCACCTTGCAGCGCGCCAGGTGGAACGAGTGCGGCACGTGGCGGAGCGTCGGGAAGCCGGCGGCCAGCACGTCGAGTCGCGCGCCCGGCAGCAGGCCCTTGCGCAAGTGGCGGCGCTCGGCGATGAACGGGTCGCGCGGCCGCGCCGTCACCCGGGCGAAGGTGTGTCGCAGCGGCGGGAAGTAGCCGGGCGACTCCGTGCGCCCCTGGTCCTCAGCTGTGTACTCGATCAGGTGGGCGTCGCCGTGCACGTTGCGCGCCGCCTCCTCGGGCGTCAGCTGGTCGTAGAGCGGCCGGATGGCGGCCAGCAGTCGCTCCTGGTCGATGAACGGGATCAGCACCACCGCCTCCCAGTCCTGCGTCTTGCCGTTCAGGTCCGTCTCGAACGTCTCCGGGTAGTAGTCGATGATGGGCGACTGGGGCGAGGTCATCAGCGGCCGCAGACATTCGGGCAGCGAGTCCTGGCTGGCGGCCGGCAGCACGGCCAGCAGCTGCTCGTACGGCAGGAACGGCCGGCCGTACTCGAAGTCCACCACGCCCGGTACGGCGCTGAAGCCGCGCACGTCGCCAATGTAGGGCGCGTAGTGGGACGGGTAGAACCAGGACCACGAGCACACGCCGTCGTAGTAGTAGTGCAGGATCCACTGGATGGCGCGCACGTACTCCACGGCCAGCCGGAGCGCCTCCTCGGGGCAGATGTCCACGTCCATCTTGGTCTGGTAGTAGTGGCGCCGCTGCTGACGGTACTCGAGCTCCGAGACCGACTCGTCGCCCTCCAACAGCTCGTCGTCGATGTTGGTGTGGATCTCACTGAACTGCGAAAACAGACACAACACAGAGTAGAGTGATGGCAGTGTTTATAGAGCCTTGGATGAAAGGATGGGATGTCGCTCAAGCAAATGTTCCGCAATTCAAGCATTGTAAGATTTGACCTAAAGTAAAGAGTGACCTAAAGAAATTGACGATACGCACCGCTCTTTATCATGTATCATGTATATCTACGGAAATGGCATGAACGAATGAAACATCTCACACAGGTCATCAACGAACACTCCAGAAAACCTTATTACCCGCAAACAAACCGACAGCCGCACTGAGGCATGGTAAAAAAGCTGCTGCGGCATGTTTAAAACCGTCGGTATGAATAACCCCCGTGTCTCCGCGCCGCTCTTACCACGGATTTGTTCTTGCTGGGCTCCAGCTCCTCGCCGTCTTCCAGGCCGTCCAGGCCGTCAAACATGGCGAACGACTCGAAATCGGCGCGGCCCTTCAGCTTGATGTTGCTCTGCCGGAGGGACACAGGACACTCATTTGTACATCACGAGGGGAGCGAGAGGGAACTGGAAGACGAATAGGGAGAGATCTGGGAAAATAGTAGACGAAAAACACACAGGGACACATAAAGAAAAGAATAAAGAAGTAACGGAAGCCATAAGCCGGAACTTTATCGCCACGCAAGTCACAATACCAGGATAGCACAACAACATTAGAAGGAATTTACTAGTCTAAAAGTCTAAAAGGGCAATGACCATTTCAATGATGCATCTAGCTTATTGTGATCTTTTGCCTCGAAATGTGAATGTGTTTATCGTATCAAAGTCTGAACTCTTGCACAAGCATTTCCAAAGCATCTGAAAAACCGTCCGACCTTTTTGTCTCGCGGTTTTCCGGCGGAGTAGCGGATGTCCATGGTGCCCTGCTGGCGTTTGGAGTCGAGCCAGCGCTGGTCGGCCGCCTTATCCTCCAGTCTGTCCAGCTCCCACTGGGCCAGCTGCTGCATCAGCGCCTCGAAACGCTCCAGCACCAGTGTGCCGCCGTCATTAATGTATCCTGGACGGGAGGGAGGGTACAGATCAGTACCTGGACAGGGACAGAGTGTCGCCGTCATTAATGTATCCTGGACGGGAGGAAGGGTACAGATCAGTACCTGGACAACGCAAGGATATCGCCGTCATTGATGTACCTACCCTGCACCATGGCTGGATAAATATTAGAACGTGTCAAGCACAATATGGACAGCAGCCGCCCATCCGCAGCGCACCACCACTATCCATGACTGCTATAGGTAATGGATGGGCGGCAGAAGCCCGGACAGAACAGGTAATTCCATTATTGTGTTTGAGAAATCAGTCACCACTTTTTTGAGCCTGAGTCAAAACTTTGTACACAAACGGTTGTCACACACAAAAATATGCCGATAATACGCGAGAAACTATCATGGATTTGATGAATTGGCGTGTCTTGTGTTTATGCATTTGAATAAGCGTGCCATGATCCTCCATAGTTACATAACAACTGACAATGTCCATCGTACGTCACACAGGTTGCTGCAATGTCGTAGGCATCCCGCCTACACTCACCCGGTCCAGCACCAGATCAAGTGAAAGTACCCCCTCGTCCCCCTGCCCAGGGATCTGTCCGCGGCGCTGGCACGCCGACCAGACCCCGCCGCTCGACCTGTCTCTCTCACCATCCAGTGTGGGCAGCACCTGCTTGTAGCAGCGGTAGACGGTGGGCAGCGCATTCTCGCGGATGTGCAGGTTCGGCAGGTGAGGCACGAAGTCGTTACCCACCAGGAAACCCAGCATCACCTGATGGGGACGCGGAGAAAAGCGATCACAGGCCGAAATGGAGTTTAAATTTACATCGAATGTTCGCTAGAAGTCGGCGTTAGCCCGTTCCCACTTCGAAGAGATTCAAGAAGCTGTTGATCAGTAGCATCCCCGGCTGATACATCCTGACCATGCAGTCAGCCTGGTGGCATTAGCGGTATACCGGTACACTACCACTTCCCCCACAAAAAGGCCCTGGCACTCAAATATCCCGCAATAAAACAATGCTCAGTAGGTGGCCAGTGCTCTCGCCCGTGAGCCGATAATCCCACCCCATCTCAGCGTCACCTCTGACGGCAGACACTCACCCAGTCGTCGATGATGCGCTCCAGGTCGAACTTGAACGGCAGCTCCTTCTCGAGCTCGCTGAACTCGTAGCCCAGGTACTCGCGGAACAGGCTCAGGTGCAGCAGGTAGAACGTCATCTCCTCCGGCACCGTGGTCCGCTTCGTCTGCTGCTTGGTGAACAGCACCTGCAGTCGCGCGGCGCCGGCGCCATCAGAGACGCGGCGCGGGAGGGGTGGAAGGCGGGGCAGGGAGGGACCGGAGGGCGGTACAGCGGCAGCAGATAGGTGTGCCACGATAGAGGACAAGAATAGCAATTAGACGTAATATTTTGTATTTTGCTTATGGTCATGCTTTCTCCTCCTGTGTTAGAATGCAGGATAATCCTGTACTCTCCCCCGCATTTTAACCTGTACCTCTCCCATGTATCCTGCCCTATACGCCTCCCGTACCTAATTGACTTGAACAGTCCCTTCCCTGTACCCTGACCTGTCTCCTGCGGTCCGTACCTCCTCTCTGAGCAGGCTGAAGTGGGGCTCGTGCGTGCACAGTCCCAGCACGATCAGGTCGGCGTCCAGTCCGTACAGACAGTGTCGCGTGTTGTGGTCGTAATCAGGCAGCGACTTCTCGTACCGAATAAACTCCATCACCTTGTGCTCACCCTCGCCGGGCACCTGAGTAGGTACGGTGTGGGGATGAGGGACAGTTAGATAATTCCACACTGTCATATGCACACCACTAACTAACAACTTATGGTGACTCATATGCACACCCGCGAACCTGAGTAGGGGAGATGGGAGTCAAACGTACACCAGAAAACCAGAGTCTAGAGGCAATCTAGTGCTAAGTTAAGCAGCCAGCTTCAGATATTAACAGCGTTGGATACACACAGACATACACCACGCGGCCAAGCAGCCCGGCCGCCCTGTCACTCACGTCGTGTCCCGAGAGGATGACGCGGATGCCCTGCCAGAGCGGGTCGGTGCTGATCTTCCTGGCCACGAAGTAGCGCAGCTGGGCGTTCAGACGGACCATGAACCCCGTGCCGGGCGTGATGCAGTTGGAATCGAAGCGTTTCTCGGTGGGAAGCACCTCGCCGCGGTTGCGCGCCTCGCGCTCGCGGTCCTGTGCCTCGCGAACTGAGCGGAACCTGAGACGGGGGAGGGGTGTCAGAGGATGCGTGGGCAATATGCCGGGTCGAGAGACGCATGGATAACGCAAAACGGCGGTAGTAATGAAAGGAGACAATAACATGGCGTCGGAGACTTCATTACGCTAGGTAGGCGCCGCATACTCGGATCTAAGCCGTAATCGCCACGCCATATGTGGAAGGCTTTTGGTGTCAATACAGTGTCGTATAATGCAAACTGAGCAGGGTGCATACGACCGTTGCCGGTATCACGGGGCCAAAACACACGGGTGTGGTCGCCGCCCATGCCGGCGGGCTACCGGTCCGACGAGAGGCACCCACCTGCGGCCGCGCTGCTGATTCATCTTGGCTCGGGGCGCCACGCCGTCCACCGCCATAAAGAACACCTTCTTCGGGCGGATCATGCGGAACAGAACCTGAGGAACGGAGCACACAACTGTGACTGCTGTACCAATTCACTGCCATTGCAATATTGACGAAGTGTTTTAAGGGAGCTGAGGTAAGCGACATGGGCGTAGGAACGGCTGGAACATTGTGGGTGCATGGGTGCAGAAATCCAGCCATGGCCGGTGAAGTGTGGGGGGGGGGGCGACACCCGAGCGAAGGCTCGTTACGAGCTTTGAGGGTGTACCATGTCGAAAAGGTACCAACCGATAAGTGCATTTGGAAGCATTGACCCTCGCATGTGTAGGGGGGTCGGATGAACTCCCCCCCCCCATGGTTGTTCGCAAATAACTCGCGCAAAAAGCGGCCGATCGCGACGAAACTTTTAGTACCCTCGAGTTGATCAGTTTTACACCTACTCTAAAAATTTCATGACCCTGACCCAAAAGACCCTTGACCTGTGACCTGATTCTCGAGACCATGTTCGGCCGGAATCGCGATTTGGCGTATGTCAGCTCACATTATCAGTGCGTCTCCAGTCTTTTTATGATTGTAGACGTCCAAACATGTGAAATGGTGTTCTTCCCATGCATCACGGTGGGTGTGAAGATAACCTGAAGGTCAGTTCAGGTCATTGACCTTTGATGACCTCGGTTCACTTTTTCGAGTTTTGCATGTTTCTAGGGTAGTGTATAGGGCTGATTTCGAATTTAGCATCCATTTGAACGTTTACGAAGTAGTTTTAGTGCTTTCGTGACATGCTACGACGCCGTCAGTGGTAGTTGACACCTACTATGGATAGCCGGTAGGACGCCTAATGGTTGACCTGACCTGACCTGACCCGATCTGGCCTAAATGCATGAAGAAATCATCTGTGATCAAAACTAACATCAGATATTTGTGATCAGCACCCCGAAAAAACCCGATAACAGCTTAATTTTACGCAGTTCTAGCAGGTCCCGATTTTCCCGACTTTTGGAATATTAACCTGACCTGGAAGGTCAACCAATGAAGTAGGACCTTAAAATTGGGTATCATCGGCTTCCTCTCGTCACGGGCAACACCCTCGTTTTTTCCGCGATGCTCTAGCTCGATCAGGGGCCGAACGGCAGGGGGTCCGACCGACCCCCCTCCCCCTCCCCCTACACATTAGAAGCTGGAAAACGCTGCACACATTCGAGGGCTAATATTGTCAATACTTATTGACTACCGCAAAAAGTAAAAGCGGCCAACTTAGCCATTTTCGAAGATATCGGGCTAAAATTTTTGACAGTGGGTCATCGGTTCGGTATGTGTTCAATCACATGCTCCATTTCCCTTTTTTCAGCACAAATGTAAGTTTTGAAGACCATCACTGATCACAGTAGCAAATGCTTCGAAAGATGGATAGTAGGCAACATATCCTGAATTTGCCGTGCTGCATGGGAAGTAGTGTTGATGAAAAAGGGGTTTTTGGTTCAGATTATTGTGGGTGCAGAATACATTGTCTGCACCCACTGGATAAATGTTGTGGGTGCAGCTGCACCCTTGCACCCATGGTTCCTACGCTTATGGTAAGCGATATAGTGACAACTAATCATGATCATAACACAGCCTGAGCAATAACATGATATATATCAGCTGTATCAATATGTTTTGTGCACTCAGCCAATCAATGTTGGGAAGATTGAAGCAGGATTTATTGGGACACCCATGATCTGATCTCACCTCAATGTAATGAAAGATGTTGTTGAATATTGTCTCCTCGGTGATGCGGAAGTGCGGGTTAGAGTCATCTGGATGCGAACATGGGTGGATAATACCATTCATATCCAGGTACAGATTGTCAAACTCAGGAATCTGAAATGAGAGGGAAATTGGTCAATTCATAGCCCCTTCATGAAAGGTCATTTTGCAACAGTATAGGGACCTGCACTTGCCACGCACACACTAGTATTTCAGTGCAGTCTTGACCCGTGACACGGTTGAGGGAAATTGAGAAATGATTATATGCTTATTGAAACTGCCATTTGAAAGGCTTAAAGCTGATGAGGTGCTCTCTTAATTCCAATTGTAGTGCTAAACCATATGGCAAAGTATGGCTCACAGGTCATCAAGATGCACAGGCCCCAGTTCAAACTACATATTAAGCTTTCAAACACAGCTGGAAAATGTCCGCTTTGCAGGCACAGCACGCTAAGGTTGGGACGTAGAGGGCTCCCGAGAGCATACTGCATTGCATGTTGAGGCTCCAGCAGTGCGTCACGATTTTCCTCATCCATCTTGTCTGCTCCATTGTGTCTGTCACCGAGCCAAATCCGCACTATGCTACACTAAACTCGCAGAGCGCCAGCCGCCAAGCCAAGTCCGCACCATGCTACACTAAATCCACACTGTACTAAGCCAAATCTGCGCTGCACCGCATAAGTTAGATTTTTAGCCTTGAGCACTGCTCAACGCTTTAAATTGAAACTGCACATTTTGAAATTCATCTCACCTGATATTCCTTGACAATCTCGCTGAGGCAAGGATATCGTTCAGACATCCATCTAAAAAACTTTGGTACTCCCATCTTGCGGTCGTTAATTTAATTGATTTTTAATTCACTAAATCCCGACGCAGTGCTTAAGTAAAGAAAGAGAAATCTCCCCTCGCCGTCCTCCGCGTCGTCGTCTCTCTACACAACACTCATTCAAGGTCGTCCATAAACATCGGAAGAGGATTGGATATCTAAATATGGCAGCAATCAATTAACTTTCAATTTTGACGTTAGCTAAATTGATTCAAAAGATTTTGCGATGTTCTTACAAACCTACAGCCAGTATTTAATGCAAATTAGACCATGAGTTGTGTGAAGGTGTTGTATTTTGATCGAATATGTGAAGACTCTGTGCCAGGCGTGAAACAGTTGAACTTATAACTATGTACAAAAAAATTCCCAGAATATGGCTGCGCTTAAACGCGGCGTAGCTGGCGCCCGTGTTTCAATCAATTGCGCTGCTTATTATGCAAAGCAAGATGCGCAAGATGCAAAGGACCTGTCGGCAGTAAGAGTCTGTCGTTGCAAAAAAATCTTGGTGGCTGGGGGCAAGGCTGATGAAAAAGTGCTAAAAGATTATCAGGCGTTAGCGTATGGTGACCTGGACCTGTGGGGGTGTAACGTCTTTGATTGCCGGCTGCGGCAGCAGTAGGTTGAGGTAACCATCGGAGCACAAGCAGCGGCCCCAGCGGCCGGCCAGTAGAACCAGAACGAGGTGAGGCCCTCGGTCCCGCAACGTTACGTAAGCTGCCTTTAGCTTGCGCGCGTCCACGCGTGCCGTGCGCTCCACCGAGCGGAATTGTACGCAGGGGGGCGACACGGCTATTCGCGCAATGTATTAATTTATGGGCCGCGCGGGGCCTCGCGATGACGCGGCTGGAGGCAACTGCTCAGCGCGCTAGGATACTTCTGGCGGGGCGGGGCGCTGAACGGTGTGCAATGAATGGGTTATGGTCGGGCCGACAGAGATGAGGTATTGAATTTGAATTGACATCAGCAATCGGGTGGGGAAGGAGAACGTTCCTAATCGAGCTTGGGTTGGGGAAAGCCGAAAATATCGCGATCGGCTCATAGCTCAGACAGGGCCGGGTGCCGTACCATGTGTTGTATACATATTTAGGCGGGCAGACAGAGATGAGTTATTGGATTTAAATTCACCTTACCATCGGTTTCTGGTGGGGTTTGAAAATGGTTTTAGTCAAGCTCGGAGTGGGGCAACCCACTGGCGGATCCAGGGGAAGGCATTTGGGGCAAATGTCTTCCCCCACATTGGCAGCGCCCGAAATCGCTTTTCGAGAATCAAAGAAAACTTCACAACTTTTCTGAGGAAATGTTGGTTAATCACACTTCACAGCAGTGCGCAAGGAATAGAAATCAGAGTTTTTTTTTAAATTAATTCCGAGAAACCTTTTTGGGGTAAGCCCCCGCAGTGTCCAAGACCGCTTCCTGGATCCGCCAGTTGTGAATAAGTCACGGTCACTCGATACCGAGCTTCGGCGGGACCAGGCGCTGTATACGTTGTTCTTTCAATGAAGAGGTGGACAGACACCTAGCCCCACATCCTACTGCTATGCCCGTGCTTCTGTGGGTGAAGCACTAAAGCATCACGGAATCCCACAGGACCTGCGAGTCGACGAAGTGGGCCGCTTTGGCCGCCGGGTACTGCAGCTCCCTGGAGTTGCCTGGGACCGATGGCAAAACAACAGCTCCGGCGGTGCCCCTATGGGCCGTAGTAATTAGCGAATTCCTGTAATGTAGAGATCATATCCTCAATAATCTCCATTACCATTTTATATTCCTAAACAGTATGACAGAACAATTATGCTTGCCTACGTTCAGGCATTACCTCTGATGGTCATACGTCCAGTACAACATGTGTTGTCTGTCAAACAACAATCGACGACGGGATCTCTTCTCATTATCTCTTAAGCCATCGGTTGTCAATTCACCCACCCCGTTTCCCTAAAAATAGACGGTCAGATTCGGCCTGGGTCCTTACGACCCCTCTAGATTCGCCAGAGACGGGATCGGATCGCCGTTATTGCACCCGTCTTAGTGTCTTTAATACTATGACAGCTTCGACCACGGACTTCGGACGGGGTGATCGTTCCACGAATGTACGAACCATCCAGGCCTAGAGTGCATCGAGGTTTAAAAGAATGCAGTCTGTAGATCAATAAACATAACAATGGTGGTATACAACCACATTAAAATATCTCCCCGGCTCCCGCAACGTTCCAACGCCCCTCCGTTATGCATTCGCCTTGTGTGTCCGCCGAGCCGGCTTGCCTCCAATGACGTCATCGGCCGGCCGGCGGCGTTCAAGGTCAAACGGCTGGTGTCCTTACCTGGAGTTCTATAGCCTTGATTGTACGTAATCTTTCAGGACCAGGTAGGATACCTGAGGTGATGAGGGAAGTTTATCCACGATTGTAACTTTGTGTATGCATGGGGTCTAGGTTGCACCGGTTGCACCAAGGGTTGCACTGTCCCAGACAGCAATTTGGTTTGGCCCAAGATTCCTCAAGATAGTTTGACCCACATTGTTTGACCCAAGTCCGTTTTGCCCCGGCAACTCCGACATGCCTCCGACATTTGGGCTGGTGTACCCTGGTGTACCCCGCCGTCGGAACAGGGGGGGGGGGGGTCGATACTCGATTTGGATCTATTCCGGTTAGCCAGTCATTGTCGTAGCGCGCCGGTGTTGGTATGGTTTCGGACTGCCGTGTCCGGCTCAAGTCCGGCTCCCTTGTAGTAGCTGCTCAGTGCTCTGGCTTGCTGTGGCTGAAGCCTGAAGTACGGTTGAGGTACGGCATGACTGATAGCAGGTGCTGCAGCGTGCACTTCACGCGGAATAGGGATGGGAGTGCATCTGCACCCCGGCGAGCAAAATTGGTCTGGGCCGTATCTGGTTTTACTCTGGCTACCTCCGGCACGACTTTGGCCGAAGTACGGTGACGGGCAAGTTCTGGAGCTCTACTGGAGCTGACACACGATCCCAGACTCACAGAGCTCGCCCGCACTGCACAGCCGGAGTTATGCCGTAGGTAATGGGTACCTATATACGGCAAACTCCGGCTGAGCTGTGGTGCGGGCGACTGGCGAGCTCAGGGGTCTGAGATTTTAAACTATCTCAAGCACACGGAATCGTGATTACATGCACTCCTTGCACGGTCCGATGCTTCATTTTTGTATTGTTGACCCTGACACTAGGGTCATAAGAGTTTTTCGTCAGTAACCCCCGATCCAATTGAGCTAGCGAGTCGAGAAATCCACCAATGGAGTCAGGAAGACCTGCTGAATCCAATGATATGCGACATGACCTCATTCGACCAACTTCGTGACATGGGGGCCGTGACCTGACCTTGACCCGAGGTCAACACCTCAGATTGACCCCATCCGAACAAAAAGGATACTATGCGACGTGCCTGAGCGAGGCGAACACGATGATGCCAAAATCGTAGTGCTGCGACCGTTTTTTGCGAAGTTATTTTTCAAAAACCGAACGAGAACCTTGGGCCATTTGATCTAACCACAGAGGTCGCCGGTTGACCCAAGACCTTAAAATTGGACACCAGTCGCTGCGTCTCGTAACGGCGCACACGCTTGTTTTTTCCGCGACGCTCTAGCTCCATCAGGGGCGAAACGGTGAGGGGTCGTACCAACCCCGAACCCCCTCCCCACTAGGCCGGCGCGTATGTAGAAAACCAAGAGGTTCGGCGAGGGTAAGAGAAGAGAGATGTTAACCTTCGCCCCAGTGGGGGGGGGGCATAAGTTACCCCCCTGTCGCGTTTTTTGCGCGTGAATAAAAAACCGCGGCGCGTAGCGCCGCGCCGCTTGGGGTAGCTTTTTGTACATCAATTTTGGACAATGTATGAAATTTTTGACCCCAGGTCATGTCAGGTCAGGTCACCAGGTCAAGTTAACTGGCCAAGCCTAAAAAAGTTTGCAATCCTCTCCAGCCGGCAAGTCAAGTCAATGGAGAAAAATGAAAATGCCTCTAGATCCGTGTGTACGCATAGGATTAGGAACAGTCCAAATATTTCAGAATCAGAATGGGGGGGGGGTGCTGAGACCGCCACTGGGGCGCGGGTTAAAGGAGAAGAGGGCAAACTTTGAAAAAGCCTTTGGATGACAGTGAGTCGTCCAGTAAAGGAAGAAGTCTCAATGAGACGAAGGACACTCCCAGCAGAAGATGGGCCCCACTTTCCCCCAGTGGAAGCGAGACGCTCCCAGGAAAAGAGGGACAACCCTAGCAGAATTGGGGCGCTCCATCTTTATCGAGGGCGCTCCAGCATTGGGCACCGCAGTGAAGGTTGGGCTCTCTGCGGCATATGTGGAGGTGAAGGGCATCTCAAATGATATAGGTATTGCGCCCCCAGCGGAAATATAGCGCACTTCCAGAAGTGGGAGCGTCTTCAGCATGAGTGGGGCTCGTTTATTAGAATAACGCCCCAGAAGAACTGCGCCCTCAGACCCCAGCAAAAGAGACGTCCCATCAGAACATGGGTGCCCTAGGGGCTAGGCATAAGTGGGTCGCCCACAGAAGATTAGGTGATCTTAGAAAAAGGGCGACACCAGCAAAAGAGTGGCGTCCTACGCATCGGTTTCCCTATGTCGCTGCAGGCTGTATAATTAATATACCCACTCGGTATTAAATATCCCCACCTTAAGGTAGGCTGGTACTATAAGAATTAAAATATGTTCGGTCGGGGAAGCATTGACATTCCCAATCACCACATGAAAGTAGCATGTGGAGTGGCTCGCGCCCAGCCGGTTGGCGTGCTACGATTGGGACACAGCGGTCTATAAGCAACGGAACGAAGCGGCTCGCGGGCAGGCGGTTCGCTGACCGTTGATAAGCGCTGCAGTGCAGGCGAGCGTTCAGCGGAGCCGAAGGGGCTCGCGGAGGGGCTCGCCGGCCGGGTCGAAATGCACCCCAGGACAAGTGTGTAACCGACGGCCGACGGCCGATGGGTCGTGTGCCGGTCTGCTGGGTCGCCGTCGGTCGATCCCCTCCCCCTCCTTCCCCCTCCCTTCTGTGGCCTGCTTTCGATCGCCTCAGTGCACATGAGCGTTGGGTTACACACCACCTCCCACTTCGCATTTCCGCACATGCAGGGCTCATTCAGGTGTCTGCTGGTTTGTCGCGACCAAATGAGGTAT